CATCTACACGGACGCTAGTGGCGAAGGAGTAGGAGCAATCTTGAAACAACCACAGGAAAATAATGTCCTACATCCAGTCGCTTACTTCTCGAAGCGTCTCAGCCCAGCCGAGCGAAAGAAAAAAGCGATTCATCTAGAGTGTTTGGCAATCAAACAAGCGATTATCTTCTGGCAATATTGGTTGATCGGCAGAAACTTCACAATAATAACGGACCACAAACCGCTGGAGACTCTGAGAGTTAAAGCGCGAACCGACGAATTCCTGGGTGATCTCGTATACTATCTCTCTCAGTATAATTTCACGATCAAATACGCAAGCGGCAAAGACAATGTGGAAGCGGACTCACTCTCCAGGAATCCGGTCCTGGAAAGTTTCGAGAACGAAGACGATGTTCTTAAGGTCGTCAATTTGATAAACTTGGAAGAAATCATTCACGATCAGAAAGCAAACTATCCAAATATCGAAAGAATGAAAAACGTCATATGGAGGGATGGTTTGAGTTTCAAGAAAATTCGGGAGAGGCAGCGATTGATCGTTTCTCAAAAATTCGGACTCTGGTTGATCCAAAAAGTTCATGACTTCTACGGTCACATCGGAAAACATCACCTAGCGGCCAGGATACGACCATTCTATTATTTCAAGTACATGGATTCTCTCTTAGAACGCTTTTGTAGAAATTGTGATGTGTGCATCAAGAACAAGACTCGGAACAGTAGACCTATGGGGAAACTATCCCAGTTAGGCCCAGCATCGAGACCCTTCCAAATAATGTCCATCGATACGGTCGGTGGATTCGCCGGAAACAGATCCCCGAAAAAGTACATGGACATACTAGTGGATCATTTCTCTCGTAAAGCCTTCGTCGCCACGACAAGTAATCAGACGACCAAACAATTCATCGATCTCATCGACAAAACTACACGCGATAAGAAAGTTTGCACAATTTTGATGGACCAGTACTCAGCCCTGAACTCTAAGGACCTAAAACAATATCTGAAGAAGCGAAATATTCAGCTCGTTTTCACCTCAGTGAATAATCCATCATCGAACGGTTTAAACGAAAGGTTGAATCAAACCTTGGTCAATAGAATAAGATGTAAAATCAACGAAAGTACGAATAGGCCTTGGTCACGAATAGCTGAAGAATGTGTTAAGGAATATAACTCGACCATTCATAGTGTCACGAGATTCGAACCAAATTATCTAATAGACGGGACAAGATCTAGCATCGTTCCAACAAATCTAGTGGAGGAAAGCAACTTAGAGAAGGATCGAGCAGAAGCTCTCCTCAACACTATGAGAAATTTCGAGAGAAACAAAGCCTATTTCGATAGAAACCGAGTGAATTGCCGCATAAAAAGTTGGAGATTTCGTCTTCGTTGAAAATGGTAACAAACTCAATCGAAACAAACTAGATAATGTGAGAATAGGACCGTTCCGTGTGCTGAAACAAGTCTCCAACTCCATGTTTGAGATCGATTGTGGGAAGCGAAAAAAAGAAGCCAACATTTTCCACGCAAGCAAACTCATCCTGAAGGAGAACAAATGTGGATGATCCTATTCACTTCCTGGTTTAGATATCTCAGGAAGACGAGGGGGGGGGGAGATGTAATATCGTCCCTGCTCCCTGCCGATATTGAGAGAGGGCGCCTTTCGAAAACTGCCGCCACGTTTCTCTCCAGAGATAGGAGAATCTGGCTCTAGCCATTCTGCGTTCTCCAAGAGCGGGATTCACCACGTGAAAATCGATTCTCTGATTTAAGGTAAATGCTCTCATGCTTACGTATCATACCACCGATACTATCGTTGTTAAATCGTTTCAATCGACCCATTAAAATAAATCTCTGATTTAAGTGAGAATCGATCGTGTGATCCTTGAAAGAAGAAAAATATATATCGTTGTCCGTCGTGGACGAGTGACTCATGGAATTGACGGACTGCCTCCTCTTCATCAACCGACCACTTGGACTCTGAGGTGGATTCCGTGATGCCAATCGCCTCGAGGTTCCAGAGAGCCTCCAGATCCTTTGCAGCTGATGTGTTTATCGCCGCGTAGGCCGAAAGAGTAGCAGCGCAGCAAACCAGGTGTGCAGTCTTGAGCTCACCCCTCACGTGTTCCTTCCCGATGGGAAACGCTCCTCCGACAACCCAACCCAGTTTGGTCGAATGGGCCACTATATCGTCGATGACCACCTCCGGGAGAGCCTTTTCCATGATCTTGTGGAGCTGATTCATTCCAATGAGCAAAGCCGGGGACGAGTTGTTCCACTCTCCAACATGGACGCGATCAGCGAGCGGCAACCTCCGATCAAAGTCCGCGAGCGCCTTAGATATAGCTTCAGAACCAATGTCAGGTGGGTCGACACTGAACGGATATTCGTGCGCCAGAAGCTCGACAATCGGACCACCTCGGGCACCCACAATACGGACATTGACCAGCGGAACCCCGTTGCGCGATACCGTGTTCGAGAAGGTCTGAATGTTCAGATCACTTACGGCCACAGGCGGCTCACGCAGCATGGCCCGCAAGGCAGGCGAAATAACAGTCAACGTACTCCCCGAATCAAGGAACGCACGTATCGGAATCCTCATGCCTCCATTGACGACGTACGCGCTGGCCGTGAGCAACAGTGCACCGACCTGAGGATTATCGCCGCCCGCGACCTGCACTATCGCCGCGCTTGTGACGTCTTTTCCATCTTCGTGCATTGATGTGTAGTGCAAACGAGAAGAACACCGCGCACATGGGACTCGAGGACCACGGCAAGCCGGTGGAGCCGAATGCTCGAACTTGAAACATTTCTCGCACCGTTGCAGAGAGCGGAGGATTTCCCTACGTTTCGCGATGGGAAGGCTGGCGGAGCATTGCGAGGATCGATGGTCGGGCGCACGGCAGAACAAACATGGTCGAAGCTTGAATTTCGGACTCTCGGTGAATTTGCTCTTCGGGACTACCGCAGCGATGGTACTTCTCAATCGGCGCCGGCTGTCCCGCGTTGGTGTCGGGCGCTCCGACTCCGCAGCCTCAGGATGTTTCGAAGAGTCATCGAGATACTTGTTATCCTCCCAGTCGCGCACCCGTTTTCGGAGAAACTCGATCAATCGACGAACCTCACGAGCGGTCCTGTCGGCTAGCGATCCATTCGTGTCAGCTGCTCCGTTTCCGTTGTTGTCTAGTGCAGTGTTTCCCAAGCAAAATTTCTCATGCCCAACCGAACCGCTCTTGTGAGACACCGTACCCACGATCGATTCCATGGATGCGTTGAAGGGCAAGCGTAAAAATGAACACTGTGTATACTCTCAATATCAAATTTTATTGCGCTTAAATCACATATACATCAGTGTTGACATTTTCTAGATAAGATGAGAGCGAAAGAACGTGATTTCATGACTTGAGACAGTTTGTTCCAATCTCTCATTAATGATTAATGAGAGAAGTGGGCTTCCTGCTCAGAGCAGAGCTTCTTTATCCTAGGCTGGATGGAGGTGAGCTTCAATCTCAAATCTCCTCGTCTGGTGATATCGAGACGGCTCCTCTTTGCGCTCACCAGATCATTCACGGCGCTGAACCCACACTCGACTAAATAAGACGACGGGAAGTGGATCAACATTTCACGTGCGCGGCCACTGCACTTGGGGAAATGTGCGCGTACATCTCCATTCAACTTGAGGAATCATCAATGACCGTTATAACGGCTGTTTTCCGATTTATAGCGCGAATTGCGATGGATGCGGCAACTTCGAAACTTAGACATTGGGGAGGGGAGATTGAAATTCCGATGCCGTCAAAGACATGACGTCCAGCTGCTATTTTCGATGCATGCCGTGTTTCAATCTGTTCAATGAGTACTTGAGCGTCTCATGCCGGACGGTATTGCAACTGAGTAGCAATAAATGAGGCGTATGGACCGTGCCCGCCGTCAAAGAAGCCATGACCAAAAATTTGGGCGCTTGCCCGTTCTTGGGAAACACTGGTCTAGTGGATTCCCCGTCTGCTCGTTCATGGCGGCGGCGCCGTCATCGCCGCGCGGGGCGAGACCAGCGAACTTCTCTTCCAAACGTCGATCGTCTTTGATTTCCTGGCGCATCCGCAGCGGCAGGGAGGCCTCCATCGCTGACTTGAGCGAAAGCGCAAAGCCTCGACGTGCGACGCACTGCACTGAGCTCTAAGCCTACGGGCCTCCTGCGCATAACTATCGCGCACTACTTGACATATAAAATCTCGATGAATTGTCTCCCAAATAGTCACCCCCTCGTTCTGCTGGGGCTTTCTGAGACTACACGTTTGACGTCGACGATTTTACAGACAATGAGCGACATTCAGTTGTACGAAGAGGAGCTCGACCAATTTGAGGACGACGACGATGTGAGACTCGAGGATGCGGTTACGCCGAAGGCCAACCCGCCCGAGCAGCCCGAACCCTCAGCCTCAATTTTCGATGGTTTATTGGAAGACTCAAACGCTCCGGCGATCAAATGGGTAAACCGCAATAACTAAACTGCGTACGCAAATTGCCTCGCACGGAATTAGTAGACACGGCAACGTTATTCATGGGTCTTGACCGACTCAATTCACAGCTCCAGCGTCCTGGCCGGTATGAAACGAATTTTCGACGCAAAGGACTGCAAGAAGATGGCCGAGGAAATCGCACTGGCGTATCCCGAACCTCAGGGACTGCAGTTCCTCGTACCAGAACCACTCCGCGACGTTGAGGCCCACCTCAAAGCGAGTAAAGCGTTCCTCGCCCTTAAGGCAGATACACTTCTCGTCAAGTTGGCTGAAACACACTCTTTGATGGCACGGCCCTTGACCGACGCCATGTCGTGCCTTGCTTCCACGCCGGAAACGTTGGATTCCAAAATCCTCGCGGAACGACTCTCTGATATCACCAAAACCCTCATCATCGCGGCTAAACTTACTGAGAACGCGCGCATCGAAATAGCTTGTCAGGCTTTTCGAGTTCCAACGTCAACAGCGAAGATTAAACGGGGTCACTCCCTACTGGGCCAGTCATTCGCGAAGAACGTTGAACGTTTACGGAAAGATAAGAAGGTCTTGCTTGGCGAAGACACATCAACCTCATCCATTCAGCGCTATCGTCCGTACTCTCGTCCAAACCAGGACCGTAGCATCCATCGACGTATTCCATGGAAGCAACAAGGAAAGAACACCGACTGGTACAGCGCAGCTCCGCGGCACAATACGTCCAATACGCCCAACTCTACATCCAGAGGGTCTGGAAGCTCAGCTACCAACAGTACTTCCAACCAACCAGGTACCTTGTATCTCTCCCTGGTAGACTTTGCTACCCAATGGGAACTTCTCACTTCCGACGACTGGATTCTGAGCACGGTCCGGGGATACCGCATCTCCTTCCTTTCCCCTCCTTTCCAACCATCTTCACCACACCCTATTCATTTCTCTCAGGATGAAACGAATAACATGGACACCTTAGTCAACGACCTCCTAGCCAAAGGGGCTATCATTCCAGTTACCCCCCAACGGGTGCGCTTCCTCTCAAACCTTTTCTTGGTCGCGAAGAAAGGCACCTCAAAGTTCCGCCCAGTTATCAATCTGAAACCTCTTAATGAATTCATCGCCAACGAAAAGTTCAAAATGGAAGGATGGTTGGAAATCAAGGAGGCAGTTTTTCCCGACTGCTACTTTACTCGCATAGATCTGAAAGACGCCTTTCTGTCCATTCCAATACACACATCGAGTCAGCCATACCTCGCATTCAGATGGCAGCACAGCACGTACTGCTGGGCCCGACTACCTTTCGGACTGAAAACGAGTCCGCGCGTCTTCACCAAACTACTTAAACCTGTCGCGGCCAACCTACGGCAGCGCGGCGTTGTCCTTATAGTATACCTCGACGATTTTCTCTTGATCGCAAACTCACCATCTCGGCTCACAGAGCATACTGAGGCCACAACATCACTCCTCCAATCCTTAGGATACACAATCAATTTTGAAAAGTCCTCTCTAATCCCTGCACAACGCGTGACGTATCTGGGCTACAATATCGACTCCGCGACAATGCGGCTCTCAGTACCAGGAGAAAAGCTCCTCCAAATCAAACGAGACATCAACTTACTTCTCGAAACTTCAAATACTACTCTTCGCACACTCTATCGCGTCCTAGGAAAATTGAACGCTCTAACAACGATTGTGCGCTCTCTGCGGTACCACTGTTCCTCCCTGGCCAGGCTCGTCTCGACCACCACCCGCCGAACACGGAACCTCGAGGCCATAGAACAATTGCCATCCGACATAAGATCAGATCTCGAATGGTGGACAACACATCTCGATACGATCGCTACCGGACCAATCCGACCGCCGCTAGTTTCATTAGAAATTACCTCTGACAGCTCACTGCAGGGCTGGGGCGCTTGGTGTAGCCATGGAGCTACCGGTGGGGCATGGAATGACGATGATCGTCATCTTCATATAAATGCTCTGGAACTTAAGGCAATTTTTCTGGCGGTACAGAGGCTGGCCAAGGACTGTTCCAATACTACAATTGCTATCCGCACGGATAACACAAACGCCATGCACAGTATTAACAATTTCGGCTCGCTCCACTCCCCAACACTGAATTCTTTGTCTCGACAGATTTGGGCATGGGCGTTCGATCGCAACCTCCACCTCAAAGCAACTTACATTCCTGGAGTGCTTAATGACATCGCGGATACGTTGTCAAGAACAGTGCTAGATAACCACAGTTACTCTCTACACCAAGCAACCTTCGACCGATTGAACTCCATGCATGGACCTTTCCAAATCGATCTGTTCGCTGATTTCTCGAACCACGAAGTTGACACCTACTTTAGTTGGGTCAAAGACCCCTTCGCAATCGGCGTAGACGCTTTCCTGTCCCGATGGGATTCTTGGACCAACCTCTATGCCTTCCCTCCATTCAAGCTGGTTGATCGAACGCTCTCCTACCTAGATTCCTTACCCACTTGCGAATTAACACTAATATGCCCCCTTTGGCCGACGCAGCCATGCTTCCCACGACTCTTACAAAGATGCATCGATCAACCGATACTTCTTCCATCGGACATCAACCTAATCCTCGACAGAACGAACACTCCTCATCCACTCATGGTCAGCCAAAGGCTGCAACTCGTAGCCTGGCGCCTAGCACCCCTGAACTCACACAAGAAGCGACGCGCTTTCTGGAAAACGCTATCCGCCCAAGTACACGTAGCGCATACGACTCATGCCGGCGCGATTGGGTACGTTGGTGTAGACAACGAGATACCCCTACACATAAAATTCCTTTGAACCACATATGTAACTTCCTGGCAGACATTGCAAACAGCGGATATTCCTACTCCGCCGCAAACTCCTTTCGCTCGGCCCTATCCTTCCACCTCGACCCCATAGACTCGTTCAAGGTGGGGAACCATCCTACGGTGTGCCGGCTCATGCGGGGCATCTTCAACACGTATCCTCCTTCGAAGCCCCGACCGCCGGTGTGGGACGTCGAGCTCCTCTTGACACACATGGACACCTGGGGGCCCTCTGACTCGCTCACGCTGCTACAGGCGACCTACCGCACACTCCTTTTCCTGTTGCTAACCTCGGCCGCACGGGTAGGCGAAATCGCCGACCTCGTGTTCCCACCCCTCTCGCAGCAGCCCCACGCCTGGGAATTCTCTTACGGTCGAGGCCTCACCAAGACCAGCAGACATGGCCACCACTCGCCCTCCTTACTGGTTAAAGCATACCCACAAAATGCCCTCCGATGCCCCATTTCGGCCCTTCGAGCTTACACGGATCTCACGCTCCCTTATCGCCTCCAACCCACTTCCTTATTTCTTACAACCAAAAAGCCGCACAAATCAGCCTCTAAAGACACACTAGCGCGTTGGGTGAAAATAGTCCTCAGGGACTCCGGAATTGACACATCCATATACACTGCCCATTCGACTCGAGCCGCTTCCACCACCGCGGCACACCTTCGCGGACTTCAACTCCCGGACATCCTCCAGACGGCCCGATGGACGAACGCGACCACGTTCTACGAACACTACTTCCGTCCCCCGGATCCTTCGCCCATGTCCTCCGCCGTGCTCAGTTCAGGTCGTTAAAATCGCTATCTGTCCTCGGTGAACGAAGGAACTCGACGAAATGGAATTCCCCAGTCTAGTCGACTCACGAAGTGGGAAGACTTGACTGGAATTCCATGAGGAGAGTGGATGAGTTCACCGAGGACTCCCACCCACCTCAACCCGAGGAGAAATCTTCACATACTTCTCAACCTTACAGGCACCTCACGGAATTAACTTAGCATTCTCACGCCTCCGGACCAGCACAGTCCGTAACGGCCGAACGAAGAATCCGCGGGCCATACTTTCGAGCCTGACTATAAGGAAACCGTGCCCAATCTCATTACGCACACGATAGCAATATCCATGTCGACAAGAATCGATCTCAGGAAACAGCCTACCTCCGAAGATACGGAGATTTTCGCGAAACCCCCAACGTGCCAAAAGATCACCTCAAACCCGAGGAACCCCCTCAGAAATCCTAGATCTCAAATAAGGCACGCTTTCGCACCTCCCTACGTGCGATCTTACCCGAATCAATAAAGGTGCAAGCGTTCACCTACCCCACCGATATCATCATCATCCCTACAGCTTAGGTACCACACGACCTACTATCTATCTATGGCAGCGACTTAGGTAATCAGCACTCGCTCCGCTTCATCCAACAAGTGAGGGCGCTCGAGTATCTGTCGACCGCTCTCGCTTGTTTTCTTTAAAGACCGCCTGCTCGCCTATCGGATCACAGTCGCTTTCTGTCCTCGGTGAACTCATCCACTCTCCTCATGGAATTTCAGTCAAGTCTTCCCACTTCGTGAGTCGACTAGACTGGGGAATTCCTACGACTTGGCTTAGATCCGCTAGATCAGCGGGACGACCGCAGCGCCGCGCCGCGACCCATGATTTGGTGGATAAGAGAGGGATGGTGCCTCCTATGAAAGTTCACCACAAAAGAGCGCGATGCAAGGGTACATAATAGAATACGAGGGATCGCGGTGCATTCTAGCTGAGTGAGCCTAGAGTGCCCCTCTGGAGACCGCGATCCATTCCGTGCGGGACATTATTTTCTGCTGGCTCGCATGACGAAGGAGGGGAGCTCGATACGGGTACACGATAATCATTTGAAGGGAAGAGCTGGAGTCCAGGGCGCCGATTCTATCCGGGTATCCGGTTGTCTATGCTTTCTTTTCCGCTCAACCTTTACTTTTCTGACTATATTCTTCTTCTTCGACTACTCTCAACCTTTTTCTCATTCTCTTCTCATCGCGTCCGCGGGGAAGGTCGGCCGGCCCAGCCCATGGGCCCTCTATGACCATTGCAGTGGAAAGGGTACAGCAGTGAAACAGTTTCCGTGGGCTGACCGCCATATAGTACGGTGTATGCTCATGAAATGAGACAAAATTTGCTGAAAACTCGAGTTTGTAATTTTTTATCAGAAGAACTGATCTCATTCGAAGTACGCGCCGTCGTTGCTAATACACGACGCCCATCTCTCAGGCAATCGATGGATTCCGCGCCAATAAAATTCTAGAGATTTTGAGGCGAAAAAATTGGTCACCCAATTTTGAACATTTTCGAAGGTCTCGAACTTCTGCTCTGAAAGTGCATGACCCATTGCTGCGAACAGGTGGTAGTCGGACGGGGCCAGGTCTGGGGAGTAAGCGGGATGGGGTAGCACTTCCCAGTTCAGGCTTTCGATGGTCCGCGAGACGTCGCTAGAAGTGTGGCAGGGTGCGTTGTCGTGCAACAAGATTGCTCTCTCGCGCCATGACCAAATTTCGGGACGGATGTGACGCATGGCATAGTACAAATTCGTCAATTGCTGGATGTAACGATCGCTGTCGACTGTTTGGCCGGGCTTCAGAAGCTCGAAGTAAATAACTCCACGCTGGTCCCACCAAACGCACAGCATTGCTTTTTTCCCGAAGCGGCTCGGCCTCACGGTGCTCGAAGGTGCTTCCCCAGGGTTCACCCACGATTTCTGACGCTTCGGATTTTCAAAATATATCCATTTCTCGTCGCTAGTGACGACACGATGCAGTAATGATTCCTTTTGAATCTATCGAGTAAGGATTTTGCTGATTGTCTTACGGGCCTCTTGTTGTCTTTCCGTCAATTCATGAGGAACCCATCTGGATAGCTTTTGGATTTTCCCCATTTCGTGGAGCCGTCTGGAGATCGTCGATTGATTAACGCCGAGTCTCCCGGCAAGCTCCGCTTGCGTCTGAGTATCATCCTCGTCTAGTAATGCTTGCAGATCGAGGTCCTCGAATTTCTGTGGAGGTTTCCCACGATCTTTTGTTTCGACAGTGAAATTCCCATTCCCAAATCTCAGGAACCATCGGAATGTTTGAGCGCGACTAAGGGCTCGTTCACCGTAAGCTCTGCCGAGCATTTCATGAGCCTCCGTCGCAGTTTTCCCGAGGTGGAAACAAAAAATCAGCGCTTCCCGCTGATGAGCATTTTTTGGGTCGAAATCGGACATTATCAGTGAGTCGGAAATTTTATAGACAACGATGTGCGAATCAAGCACCTATCGGATATTATGGCCCGAAGATTGGATTGAGAGATAGGATATATAGAGTTTCTCCACGTTCGCCGCAGCGGCCGGAGC